CCTTCTAATAGATGGGCAGTCATGGTTTTACTAACAAAACAGCCCCCAAATAAAACCCACCAATTCCAAGGAGGCACCTGGAAGTCTTTCGGGAAGTCCCTGTATCTGTCTAACTTTAGTCTTTCATGCTTCAGTTCCAGCCCATTTCTTCTTCTGTTCTAGAGGACAGGAACAATGTCTCTTTTCACTGCAGCCTGTCTCAGCTTCTCTCTGCTCCAACATAGCCCACGTTTGTGATCCCTTCCGACGATCTCAGAAGCAGGTTTTTAAACATAGGTAATGATGGACTCCAATCCGTCATTTCTTTTAACAAAAGCCCGGGAAAGGAGCTTTGGAAGTGTCGTCTAAGGTCACGCAGCAAGCAGACTCTGGCTCTGCCTGTGCCAGCCCCATCACACTGGGGAGAGCCCAGCTCTGCGCCTCCCTGCTGTGCACCCTTGGACCAGTGGCGCCCCGTCTCTGGACCTCATTCTCCTCCGCAGACGTACCAAGAGGGAACTGGACTTATTTTCGCAGCCCGTTCAGTTCCTACCATTGTCAAGGCTGCCTACCCGACCCTGGCCCTTGCTCTACCTTCCCCCACTGACAAAAAGAGGAAAAGAAACCTGCGTTAGGCGTCCGGAAAGGGCGCGCGGCTCCGAGGGCCGCCAGGCTGCGGCGATTGTTGCTGGGTGAACGAATCTCACACAAATCCCAGATAGAAAAGCCTCACCTCCCCAGTAACCACAGCAACCCGGGCCACGCCTCCAGCCCAAACACAGCCCGAGGCCCCGCCAAGGCCCAGCCCCAAGCTCCCCCGGGACCCCTCCCCTCCCTGCCACCAGCCCCAGCTGGAAAGAGAAAAAGCCAACGCCCCCATTGTGCGGAGGTGGAGACTGAGGCCGGAGGGTGGAGGCTGCGGAACCCCGCGACCGGCAGGGTTTGGACTGGGGCCCGCATCGCCCGTCCAGGGCTACCTCCCATTCCCGGAGCGGTGATGCGTCTCCTTCCCTATGCGCGTGGGGTTTCCACGTGGAAAAGACCGAAAGCAGCACCGTCCCAGTGGAACGGAGCCCACCGGCGCTGTCCACTCTCCCTCCCCATTCTCCTGACGGAAAAACTGAGTCCCAGCGAGGGGCAGGGACCACCCCGGACGACCCGCGAGTCCCTCCCCGCGTCTCACCTGCTGGCGGCCGCCGCGCGCGGGTGGTTTCCTGGAGTTGAGCGGCAAACAAAGGCCTCCAATCCGGGCGCGGGGCGGGGCGGCGGCTCCTTTGCATAATCCCGGAGGCCCGCCCGGGACGGAGCCCACCGGCGCTGTCCACTCTCCCTCCCCATTCTCCTGACGGAAAAACTGAGTCCCAGCGAGGGGCAGGGACCACCCCGGACGACCCGCGAGTCCCTCCCCGCGTCTCACCTGCTGGCGGCCGCCGCGCGCGGGTGGTTTCCTGGAGTTGAGCGGCAAACAAAGGCCTCCAATCCGGGCGCGGGGCGGGGCGGCGGCTCCTTTGCATAATCCCGGAGGCCCGCCCGGGACGGCGGGGGGCGGCCCCGGGGGCGGGGCCTCGGGGAGCGCACCAATCACTGAAAGGAGGCCGCCGCGACCCGCCCCCAGGGACTCAGGCACGGGGAGCGCAAACCCTGCTGCAGGATGAAAATCTCAGACGTGGGAGGCTGCGTGTCCCTGCTGCAATCAGCCCCACCGCAGATCCGGAGATCGAGGCCCGGTCTGCGGAGGGTAAGGCATTTATGCAAGATCGCACAGAGTGGCACACACCTGTAATCCCCAGCACTTTGGGAGGCCGGGCAGATCACCTGAGGTGAGGAGTTAGAGACCAGCCTGGCCAACATGGTGAGCGCCTCCCCCACCCCCAGTCTCTACTAAAAATACAAAAATTAGCTGGGCGTGGTGGCGCACATCTGTAATCCCAGCTATTTGGGAGGCTGAGGCACGAGAATCCCTTGAACTTGGGAGGCGGAGGTTGCAGTGAGCCAAGATTGCATCACTGCACTCCAGCCTGGGCAACAGAGAAAGACTCCATCTAAAAAAAAAAAAAAGGAAAAACAGATTGCACAGAGCCACAGTGAGGAGGAAATCACAAACTTCCATGGCTGAAGTGGACTGCTTAGTAACGGTAACAATAAACTTTTCTCGATCACTAATTATGGGCCAGACCTGTTGGAAACTCTTCTGCTGTTCAGTTGTCTCCTATGAGGTACGCAGGTATTATCACCCCCCGGGTATATTCTCTTCCAACCTTCCATCAGGCAAGCATGCAAACCTAGCCCGAAGACGGACAAGAAGTTTTCCAAGGTCCCGCTGTGAGTGCAGCACAGACATCATCCCTTGTCCACCACACACACACCTTGAAGGATGCACGGTGTCCAACTCACCTGGGCTCATTGCCCCAGCTCTGCCACCTGCTGCCAGTGAGCCTCAGGCAAATGGGATTCATACCCACACCTTATGCAGTTGTTGAGAGTAAATAAATAATAATGGCAGGCCCGTAAGAAATAAATCAGTGGTACTAATTTAAACAGCACCTTGACTGACCCTATTAACACAAGAGGCTTAGTAAGTCCTGATGCAAGAAGAGACTTGTCCAAGGTCCCTCCTCCAGCTGCATCCAAAGTTGAATGCTTTGGAGTTTTTCCTCCTGGTAGAAAGCACTTGCCAGTTCCCCAGGTTGCCTGCTACTCCCTAGACACATATTTGGTAGCAAGTTTAGCAGCAGCTTCTACTCACTAAGGCCCTGCTCTGTGCCAGGGGCAAACATTTTAGCTAATCCTTCTGGGCTCTGGCCCTGGAATGTCAGTGTTGCAAGGGCCCAAGGTGTTTTTCCACACAGGTCATGGAAGTGAAGTGTGTTCCTGGGTTTGAGCAGCATGGCGGTCATGACTCTTGAACAGAAGGGGAAACTGAGGCTTGGTGTATTGTGTGACCTGCCCAGCATTCTCCAGCAAGGGAGAAGCAGACCCTGAGACTCCAGTCATTCCCTCCACCCCCCACTTTGGCATCATGAGTAAAGATGTCAGGGTCACAGGTACATGTGGCCAGGGTGGACCTCTGACAACGCTCTCCCCACTCTTCCAGTACTTGAAGCTGCCTTAACCCACGACACTGGGTCCTTCAAAAGACACCAGGACAGGTGCAGGAAAGAGCAGACCCAGGCTTCAGGCAGCTGTGGGTCCAAACTTGTCCTTCTTACCTGTGTGACTTTGGACAACCATCCACTTGCAAAGGAAAGTTTTCAGGTTAAGAGTTCTACTGGGAGGGAAACCCACACACCCAATGGGCTGCAGCCTCAGAGTCAGGCCCAGGAATTCCAGAAGCAACAAGTCCAGAAACCTCATTCTTGTCCTACTCCTTCCAAGTACAGACATGGGGCTGTGAGTAGCAGCTGCTGGGGGTGGCAGTCCCATTGTGTTAGTTTCCTATGGCTACTGTGACAAATTAAAACGGCACAAATTCCTTCTCGTACAGAGGACAGAAGTCTGAAATGAGTCTCTCTGGGCTCAGGTCCTTCTGGAGGCTTCCTTCTGGAGGCTTTGAGGGGAGAATCCACTGCCTTGCCTTTCTCTGCTTCTAGTGGCTGCCTATATTCCTCAGGTCATAGTCCCTTCCTTCATCGTCAAAGTACATCTCACTGCAACAACCCGTGCTTCCGTCATCACACCTTGTCCTCTTCTGTTACATCTTTCTCTGCTTCCCATTTATAAGAGTCCAGTGATTACACTGGGCCCACCCCATGTCAAGATGTTAACTTAATCATGTCTGCAAAGTCCCTTTTGCCATATAAAGTAACATTCCAAAGTTCCAGGGATTTGAATCTGGGTATCTTTGGGGGCCATTATTTAGCCTACCAAACCCATTTTACAGATGGGGAACTTGAGGCTCAGAGAGGTAAAATTACTTGCCCATGACCACACAAGCTTTGGAGTTGAATGGCAGGAGATCTGAGGCCTAACAAAGCCCTCCTGCTGCTAGGTGGGGGGTCATTCTCTGCAGGGGGTCCACAGCACCCTGTGGGGGGATGGCAGGGGTGCCTTCTGAAACACCAGCTGCCTCAGGGGAATCCATGGCTCAGGTCTCAGGTCGTCTGCCCAGGCTGGAAAGAGAACAAGGACAGCTAAGAACAGGATCTGGGACAAGAGCATGGAACCAACTGTCCCTAACCCACCTCTGACAGAACTCTGGACATAGGCCTGGACAAAGCAAGATTTCTCAAACTCTTCCATCTTCCAGACAAATATTGAGGACAGAAGGAATGAGTGCTGGGGCTGGGACTGCGGCCGTACAGTAGACCATGTCTGCTACCTTTTCCTCCGAGCCCATCCTATACGGGTGTTTTGCTCTGACACCCGCTGCCCTTGGCTACTGGAACAGCTTGGCTCACATAGGTAGAGAGCAGGAAGTGATTGGGAATTTATGGCCTCTCCCTGTAGGCTTTGTCCAAAGTCTGACAGGCATGAAAGTCCGGCCCTCTGGCCTTGAGTGGAGACAACTCAAGGCCTAGTGTACGCCCTGGGATCCTCCTGGGATCAGGCTGAAGCTGCCCTCTGCAGACTTTGCTTGAAATCTCACCCTCCCTTGGCTTCCTCCCCTTCCCTGTCCTGCTTCCTGACGTCCTTGCTGGTCCCCCCTGAGGGCACTTCTTGATGATTGCTTGCGTAGAAATCCTTATCTCTCAGGCAGCTTCTGGAAATGAATGGGCAGCATCTGGGATTTAAAACATTCATGCACATTGTGCATTCTGCCTCATAATATACTTGTGGGTTTTAATCTAAAACTATTATCTGTAAATACTCAAGTTTTGCCCTCAAGCCTTCAAGTAAGAGGCTCCAAGATGTGAGTGTGACTCAAGCACCCCTGCACACCCCACCGTGTATCCCAAATGGAGCCATAGGGGCAGGCAGGGTGGTGGTCTGTGGTGCTCTGACTGACCCCACCTGTCCTGTCCACTCCTCTCCCGACATGGAAACCCCAGCCACACAGGTAGACCACACAGCACGCTGGCCTCTAACCTTGTTCAGATTTCTTTATTGAAAAATTAAAGTCATAAGCTCTGTATATAAATACAATGACACTGCTGGTCACCTGCAAGGCCTCTGGGATAGGCTGGGGGTGCAGAGGGAAGCTGGGGCCTTGGGGTCCCCAGGGGCATGGGGAGGGAAATAAATAATAAATACCACGGGGGATAAGGAGCCAGGAGGAATGGGGGTGTGAATGGGGAGGTGCTCGATGCTTATTTGTGGCACTAAAGGTCCTGCAAGATTCCCCCTGGTTGGGGGCCGTGTCCACGAACTCTCAAGTGACTTCACTTTGGACAAAGGCTCAGGCATCTGGGGATGGGCTGGGTCCTAACTGGAGGGGGGACAGTAGTGCCCCCAACCCAACCTGGAGAAACCAGCGCTCTGCCCTTCCTTTTCCTTTCTTCCTGTCTTGCAACCCACTTGTCTTGGGCGCCTACTGTGTACCCAGTACAGCACCAGTTCCTGACCTGACCTTCTATTTGCCTTGCCCTGCTCTCTTCCTCTCCCAGTTCTGGTCCAGTGGGCTGGGATGGAGGGGGGATGTCTTCCTGCTACCCTGGCCATGCAGCCCCAACCCCGCAAGGAGCTTGATGAAGCCAACGGTGGGAAGGGACTGGAACCAGGGGCTGGGTAGTGGTGGGAGGCCCTCAGGCCTTGGCCTCTAGAGCATCACATTGAACTCAGTGACCAGAAAGTCGATGTAGTCACGGTCCTTGGTCTTGAAGGCCTCGGCGATAATGCGGGCGGCCTCCCGGTGCTCCTTGCCCCGAAGCGTCAGCCCATTCACTTCCAGGATCACGTGGCCCACCTTGAGCTGCCCACAGTTGTGAGCTGAGCCGCCTCTCTGCAGAGAGGAGACACAGGGCATGGGGTGCCCAAGGGTTAGACAGGCCTGGCTTTGACCACCCACTGGGTCAGTCCCAACACTGCCAAGCAGGCAGCTACAATCTGGGTGGCCACTGCTCAGATTAGGAAAATTGAGGCCCAGAAGATCAAAGGTGACATAAGCCTAGGAGTGCTGTGTTACCCATGGGAGTCGCAAAACCCTAGAGATGCTGAGAAAGGGCCTTTCGTGGGTAGGGAGAGATGGCAAGTGGGGCCCTGGGGACATACCTGAATAGTGACAATCCTAGGCAGGGGCTGGCGGGTGTTGGCGCCACCCTCGATGGCAATGCCCAGGGTGGCCGCACTTTTCTTCACACGGACCAGAGTGGACGTGGGCTCCAGGAGTCCAGGCTGTGGGTGTGAGGAAAGACACCACTGAGGCCTTCGCAGTTGGCAGGCCTGGCCAGGGGGCTGGGCTGGGCCGGGCTATGACACCTTCCTGGGTCAGCAGAGCTCCGGCTCCAGCCCTGTGTTGGGAGCCTCAGGCGTGCCACACGCCAAGCCAAGCACTTGTGTTCTCGGCTCTTTAATCTTCACCAAAATCCCTGAGGCTCGGGAGGTTAAGGAGCTTGCCTAAGGCTGCCTGGTGGCGGCATCAGGACTTTAATCTGGGCCTGACTCTGAAGACTGTCTCAGCCACCTGGCCATGTCAAAACTGAGGGGAGATTAAAGATTCCCAAGACCGGCCGGGCATGGTGGCTCACGCCTGTAATCCCAGCACTTTGGGAGGCCGAGGCGGGCGGATCACGAGGTCAGGAAATCGAGACCATCCTGGCTAACACGGTGAAACCCCGTCTCTACTAAAAATACAAAAAATTAGCGGGGCATGGTGGCGGGCGCCTGTAGTCCCAGCTACTCAGGAGGCTGAGGCAGGAGAATGGCGTGAACCCGGGAGGCAGAGCTTGCAGTGAATTGAGATGGTGCCATTGTACTCCAGCCTGGGTGACAGAGCGAGACTCCATCTCAAAAGAAAAAAGAAAAAAAAGATTCCCAAGACCAACCTCAGCCTCAGCCCCTAGTGTCAGTGCAAAGACAGAGCTGAAACTGGGCCTCCAGATTCCTAATCCAGTGCTCCACCGGGACGTCCAAATCCCTTCAGTGATGGGGAGCTCACTACCTCCCCTTGTGGTCACTTGCCAAGCTGAGGCCAGGTCCCGGGACCTCCCATTCTGTACCTGGGGCCCATGTTCCTCTCGGCCCTCTGCATCCTCCTCCTCCTCCTGGCTCACCGGTTTGTTGGCCCCGTCTGTGGGCCTCTCGTTCCGAGGCAGCTCCCTGCTACTCCTGCTCTTGGTGGACGCCGACTGCCTGCCTCGGCCTGGGGCACTGGCCTCTGCCTCGCCAGCATCCACACCACTGTCCTCGCTTAGAGTCTGCCCGCTGTCTGAAAGCTGGGAGAGCGTAGAGGCTGCTGGAGAGGGGAAAAGGAAGACAGAAGCAGCTTATATAGCTGGGGTCAGGGAGGGCTGCCTGGAGGCAGTGATGGAGATGGAGGCTGGAAGGCTTTGGGAATTCCCCAGGTAAAGATGGGGGAAGGAAGGAAGAGATCATGGCGCTGGAGGGCAGGTCCACTCCCTGCCACCCTCTCCACCTACTCAGGACCTGTCCTTTCAACCAGACCTGGCCCGAAGGCTGTGACTTCCAGGACATCTGCCTGGATCTCCCAGTTCTCAGCCACTGGCGTAACGATTAAAACAGAGGTCAGGAGGCAAACCCAGCACACGGATGTGGGTGTTATCTTTGTTTTAAAACTCACATAATGCTATCAATTTTTAATGATGAACCAACACATTCAAATTAGAAGATTTCATGTAAGCAATTTCTAGCTTCCCAAGAATAAAAGAGAAATTCTGCCACACCTGGCCCGTACGCCTGCGCGACCCCTGCCTGAGCCGAGTGGCGGGCACATGCCTTCCAGCCGCCGGTCAGCTTCACTATGTGTGTAACATCCCGGCCCCTGAGTGTGAGACCCTACGTTAAGAACACACACTCTGGAGTCTGGCAGGTCAGTTTTGAATTCCCACTGACCAGCTGTGCACGCCTGGGCAAGTAACAGAGCCTCTCTAAGCCTCCTATGTTCTCCTTCTAATACAGAAATGATGGTGCCTAACCACTGGGGTGACTGTAAAAACTCATAGATCTGATGTATAGAATGGAGCAGTCAAGGGAATAGACTTGTGCTAGCCTGCCTGGCTCCAGGCTGTGGGTTCTTGATCTAGGGTTTCAAACTCAGGGCCCGGCTGTGATACACACAGTGAAGCAGCGTGCGTTGACTGCCCACCACTCGGCTCAGGCAGCGGCCGTGCAGGGGTTCAGGCCAGGGGTGGCGGAATTTCTCTTTTTTTCTTGGTAAGCTAGAAATTACTACTTTCTCTCTCTCTCTCTTTTTTTTTTTTTTTTTTTGTTGAGACAGCTTCTCACTCTGTCGCCCAGGCTGGAGTCCAGTGGTGCAATCTTGGCTTACTGCGACCTCCACCTCCCAGGTTCCAGCAATCCTCCCACCTCAGTCTTCTGAGTAGCTGGGACTATAGGTGCTCACTACCACACCTGGCTAATTATTGTATCGTTAGTAGAAATGGGGCTTTCACCAAGTTGCCCAGGCTCCTGAGGTCGAACTCCTGACCTCAAATGACCTGCCCGTCTCGGCCTCCCAAAGTGCTGGGATTACAGGCATGAGCCACTGCACCCAGCCAGAAATGACTAATTTCTATGTCTCAGTTTGTTCATTCATAAAATGGGGATAATAATAGTACCAACCTCATAGGGTTACGGGGAGGATTCAATGAGTTAATACTATAGGCAAGGCCCTTTGAACACTGGCACCTACAAAGTGCTTATTGTTAGTGCAGCTGTCAGCTCTTACTACCCCTGTGTGTCCAGCTCAGTGCCAGCTCTAGAGGCAGCAGTGATCCATCGGTGACAGCCCTGGGTCTTCTCACCTCGTCTGCCTGCTCTCCCTCAGCTGCCTGCCCTCACTAAGCTGTGAGCGCCAGGGCCCTGCATTTTGCATCTTGGTCTGTGCAGGCACTCAGGGAACGTCCTATGGGTCCCATGTACCACTGTAGCCACAAGATGGCAGCAAAATCCAACAAAATGCTCCAAACTCACAGGCGGGCCGGCCACAGCTTTCAGGGTAGGGAACAAGGCTCTGCCCTTCCCTCTACCCCCCAGCCCATGTCCTCTAGCAAACCAGGGCACAGCATCATCTGGTCTCCCCAAGATTCTTCCTGCACCCTGACCCTAGACCTGTCAGGGATCCAGAGACTGCCACTTCAGTTTCCATCTTTCACCCCAGCATCTACTCCCGGCCAGGCCGTGGGGGACAGGAAGAGAAGCCACCTCTGCCCTCCATGAGTTCAGTCTTCCTGGTGAACGCAGGGTGGCCAGGGTAGGGGGAGCTAGAGAAGGCGCCCCAACCCTCGCAGCAACCTGGCAGGATTGTCATTGTTATCTCCATTTTATGATGCGGAAAGCAAGGTGTAGACGGCAGCTTGTCCACAGTCACACAGCTAGTCAGTGGCAGAGCCGGGATTCAAACTGGGGTCTCCAACTCCCTTCACCACTCTGGCCCTGAGCCCCCTCAACAAGTAGCTGGTCCCACCCTTCACTGTGTCATCAGGTAGACTGACCCCGAGAGGACAGGGACCCCCAAGGACCACAGAGCTTGGCCTTGCTGTACTCACTGCGCGTCTGCGGCAGTGCCCTCACTTCATTGACGTCTGGCTCGCTGTCGGGGCGGTGGACCTCCACCATGACAAAGTGCTGGTTTGTGCCTGTCTGGTCCGGGTGGCCAGAGGGCGATGGCGGTGGAAGGCAGTCCCCAGCCACTGTGGCCTCTGCAGAGGGGCTTTTCAGGTGCGGGGGTGACTGGACCCGCGGGAAGGGGCCGATGGGGTGTTGGTTGACCAGGGCCAGATGGGCATCCAGCAGCCTCTTGGAGCTGGGGTTGGCAGGGGAAACGGAGGCATAGACGGGGGAGGAGGGCGAGTCCTGGGCAGAGGAGGTCCCTGGGGTGAGTGCGGTGCCCGCCGGCGGGCTACGGTTCTGTGGAGCCGAGAAGACAGTGCCAGAGCAGGAAGGCGTGGAGGAAGGCAGCTGGAAGTCCTCTCTCCCCAGCTTCCCCGGCTGGCCTAGTGGGCGGTCGTTGCCTTGGGCCAGAGATGGTGGGGGAGGCAGTGGCTTGAAGCTTGACAGCCCCTCGGAGGTGGATCTGACATCATCCTGCCAAAAGACCCAACAGGTAGAGAAGGAGTCAGAACCCATCACGCCTGGAAGAGGGGAGGCCGAGCAGCCGAGTGGTGCCAGGCCCGACTGGAATTCTGTCCCCACTCTAACTGCTCTTGGCCACGCTGCTCTGAATAATGCAACACCTGAGTGGAAAACTTCTCCCCTGCATCTCGGCAGCTGATGAGCGTTGGGATCCTGGCGGGTGTCTCTGGGGACGGCATCATTACCTTTGGGAACTGAAGTTCTTGGCATCAGCCAGAGCTTCTCACAGGGAACAAGACTTTATTAGAGACAGTATGAAGAGGATGGAATACAAAAAATGCATTTATTTGGCTTTTCTTTTTAGGAGGTGATCTTGAGTACCAGAGGCAAGAGGTGTGAAAGGACTGGAGAGAGAATGGACAGGAGGAGATGGATACACGGGCTGGGGTGCTGTGTGGCCCTGGGCAAGACACACCACCTCTCTGAGTGCACCTCTGAGAAATGGGGAAAAGCACACCTACCCAGCAGAGGTGGTGTGGTGATGTCAAAAGCCACGTGGATACTGTTAGCACAGTGCCTGTGCCACAGCAAGTGCACAGTGAGGGGCAGCTACGGATACTGTGACTACCATTCCCCTCTGCCTAGGTCAACACTGGACACCTGCACAGCTCCAACAGCCTTCCCGGCACCGTCCTAAAGGCTTTAATTAATTTACTCCATGCCACATACTTATGGGGTAGGTATGCTATGATCATCATCCACACTTTACCGATTGGGAAACTGAGGCACAGAGAGGCTAACAAACTTGGTCAAAGTCATACTGTGGCCAGTCAGCCTGACGGCCCCACCTGAAGTCACCAGAGGCAAGCGATCCTGGTGCCTGCTAGAGATGCCAGATAGGTGCGCTCGTGCACAGACCTGTAGCTGGGTGTGAGAGCTCATGGCAGAGGCCTCTGTCTCTTTTGCCACCCTTTCTCTGTGGCTGTCATGGAGAGGAGAGAGCCTCCAGGGCCTGAGCACACCAGGGAGAGCAGAACCAAAGGGCCAGCCAGGGCCTTACCACGGACACGTCTGGGAGGGCATTGACACTGCCCTGGACAGCCTCGCCGGTTTCCTCCAGGTCCAGAGTGTTCTAGAAATGGACAAGAAAGCAAAGTGAGCAAACAGAAGCTGAGAAGGGAAAACTGGTTTGTTCTCCAGCACACCAAAATCGAGGAAGTCTTAGGACACCTCCATGTGGTTCATGTGAGCCCTGACATACCTCACTTCATTGAAATTCACTTTACCCATTAAAATGAAGGTCAATTTCATTGCTGCTGGTCACTTTGAAGTTAAATTTTCTTTGGGACTTTCTGATCACTTTCAGGCATCCCCTGAACTGCCAGAGATGCTGGGCTGTCTCCAGCCTGGGCTGGGAATTCCTGGATTTGGCCATGAGTGCTGTGCTCCACACAGTCATGCCTCCAAAACCCAAGGCCTCTCTCCACCACTTGCTGATGAATCCCAGGAAGGTGTGAAAATGGCAAGAGAGAAGTGGGTGGGGAGAGTCTCTCCCTTTTCTAAATTCTAATGGTTTTCATCCCAAGGTGGTGGTTTAAGGTTTAAACGGACCTTATTTTGCAAAAAACATCTTTTTCTTTCCTCCCTTCCCAATTCACAAGAAGAAACCCAATGGCCCCTTAAGTGACACTGGGCTGCCAAAAGGCCATTTGTGGGCCATCTATGGGGGGCCCATCGGAGCTCCTCTCTGAGCTGGGCTCTCTTGAGGGCTAAGGGAGCCAGTTCTCTCTGTCCCAGAGCCCAGAATGGAGAAGAGCTTCCGCCACTGTGATGATTAGCTTTGCATGTCAACTTGACTGGGCTAAGGGATGCCGAGATAGCTGGTAAAACATTATTTCTGGGTGTGTCTGTGAAGGTGTTTCCAGGAGAGATCAGCATCTGAATGGGTGGACTGGGCAAAACTCACCCTCCCCAATGTGGGTGGGCCTCATCCAATCCACTACGGGCCTGAACAGAACAGAAAGGCAGAGGAAGGGCAAATTTGCGTGCTCTTCTAGAGCTGAGACATCCATCTCCTCCTCCCTCAGACACCAGAGCTCACAGTTACTGGGTCTTTGGACTTGGATTAAAACAAAACCACCAGCTTTCCCCAGCCTCCAACTTGCAGATGGCAGATCCTGGGACTTCTCAACCTCCATCACTGTGTGGGCCAATCCCACACAATAGAGTGTATCTGATTGCCTCTCTTTCTCTGGAGAACGCTGATGGCTACATCAACACTTGGCTGAGGTCTCAACTGCAGTGTTCATCAGTACTGAGCAGTCTCTGAAGCTCCAGGCTGATAAGGGGCTGGGGACACAGAGGAGGTGAGACACCACCCCTGCCATTGGTAGCTCAGAGACAATGGAGGTAAGTCGACAAGCAAACAAACAACAGGGCAACTGCAGAGAGAGCATTCAGTGGGCAAACACAGGCATATAACGCAATCAGGGAAGGGGTTATCAAGGAAGGCTTCCTGGAGGACGGGGCACAACTCAAATCTAGGTCTTATGAGTAAGCAGAGCAAAGAAGGGAATGATAGGTGTTTCAGACAGAGGAAAGGGTGTAAAGCAGGAATGGAGACAAGAGGTGTGAGAATCCCCGAGCAGCTCCACAGAAGTCAAGCATGGAGCTCTTGGACTTAAGCCTGAGGGCAGTGGGTTGCCATGGAGATGTGGTCAAGTTTGCCCTCTACAAAGATCCCCTTTGCTCCCCAGCCAGGCTGGAACACCACGGACATGTCAGCCTTCACACTGGCTGTTGTCTCTGCCTGCAACTCTTCTGCTTGGCTATCCATCCACGAGCCATGCTGTTGCTCACCTCCTTCAAGACCTAATGCACTTGTTACCTCCTCGATGAGGTGTACCCTTACCACCCCGACTAAAATCATAACCTTCCCCTCACCCCACCCCACCTTTCTTTATTTTTCTCCTTCTCATTGAGCACCATCTCCACCCAGCAGCCAGGGAGTCATCCCGGAAACATACGTCAGGTCTCTGCAGCTCAGGACCCCCAAGGCCTCTTCATCTCAGTTGAAGGGAGTTCCAAACCCCACACTCACTGTGTCTACATGACTGGGCCCTTTCCTGTTACTCCTTCGACATCGAGGACTCAATCCTGCCCCAGGGCCTTTGCACCTGCTGCTCTCTCTCTGCACCACACTGTGGTTCATTCCCTCACTTTGTTTACTTCCTCGGCGAGGCCCTCCCAGAGGGCCTCCCAGAGGAGCCCTGTCTAAAACAGCACTGCCCCACCGCCATCCCTGTCTATCCCCTGCTCCTGCTTTGGTTTTCTGTGTAACGCCTATCACCATCTGACTTTATACTCTTTGCATACTGTCTGTCTCTCCCAATAGGATATAAACTCTAAGAAGGGAGGATGTGCAACTACTTGGTCCTCACTCTCTCCTCAGTGTTCAGAACAGTGGCTGCTGGATAAATATTTACTAAGCAAACTGATGAATCCATGAATGAATGGCAGGATGAATGAATCAATCAATCACTCCAGCCATCATTGGAGGAGGCCAGAGCAGGCAGGGAATTGAGGGGGGTGGTGCAGCAGGTCATTGCGGTGAGCAGTAATGAATGTTTGAGTGAGTGTGAAGGCAGCAGGTGGGGACAGAAGGCACTCCTGACGCCACACCCCTAAGACAGAGAGAAGCCAGTCATGCCGCACAGATCCCTATCTCAACCCACGGGATGCTTGCTTGGGCCTTCCGGGTCAGATCCCTGCAAACTCAGAGCTCCTCATCTGGTCTCATGATGCCTCAGGGGCAGAGTCAGGCAGGGGCAATTGCCCCCACCTCCCCACAAAGTTGAGGCTTACATGCAAACCTTGGTCCTGACCTGTTAACTGCAGACTGCCCCACAGCAAGCTGCTGCTGACAGTTCCTGTGATGCAAGCACGGTGCGTGGTGGTTGGGGGGATTCTTTCAAAAGGAGGAGGCTGATCAGGCTGCTCTCTCACTCACTGATTAGTGACACTGGTTCTGGCTCTGCCACCTCTGAGGCTTCTTTGAGCTCACACCTAGTTCTGCTGCTTGCAGCTGAGTGATGGCGGGTAAATCCTTCCTCTGTAAAACAGGTTAACAGCAATACCTGCCTTATGCAGCAGATATGTTAACACTTACAAAGCACTCAGAATAGGGCCTGGCACAGTGTACGAGGCAGGTGACTGCTACATGCATCGGGAGATTGGGAGGCCTTGCAATCTGCCCCAGCAAGAGAATGAACTGCGAGACGTGTCCTGGCCCACATGACAACTAGGATGGAAAGGAACGGCAGCCGTCTCACACCACCTCCCTCCTCCAAGACCATAATGAGTCCAATGCTCCCTGGAAGGAGTCCAGCCAGGCGCGTTAAGGTGAACAGTGAGGCAGTGATTGCCATGCAATCACTTCCTCAGGCTCAACATTCATGGCCCTGGCATCAGCAGGAGGCACAGAGAGGGGTCAGAGCCTCAGAGGTATCTACAGCAAAGACAAGGGGAGCCTCTGCCGCCACACTCAGGTGGAGCCACTGCCCCCTGCCCCAGGAATTCGACCTGCAGCTGATCCTGGGGGAAGCCGGGTTGGGCTCAGATGACAGTAGGTGGTGGGACCAATGCCGTCGGATTCTGCCCTGCTCTGGCGCCTCAGGGACTTTGCACATTCAGCTGCGCAGGAAGCTCTTATCAGGCAGCCATGACTTTCCAGGGAAGCTCAGGGAGGGTATGACTTTTTCCCGGAAAGGGTATTAGAGAACTACAAAGGACCTGCTGTGTGCCAGGCCCCGTGCTGGGTGTTTTACTTGTATTACCTCGTTTGATCCTCCCAACGACCTTGTGAAGCAGGTACTAGAATTGTCCCTTGTCACATCGATTACTCCTAAAGTTCAGAGGGAAGTGACTTGTCCAAGGTTATCTGACCATTCTACAGAAGGTCAGGTTTATCTAACCTGGGTCTGGGTCACCCCAAAGCCCATGCTGCACTATCCCAACCCCAGAAATGGACAGGACCCTGATGTCATAGGAACCTGAGGCCCCCACGAGCAACCCTCTTGGAAATGAGAGAGAAGGCAGCCATAGCTGGCCCTGGCCTCAGCCTCATTCCCTGCTACTAACTGCATCCTGGGGGCATGGCAGGTGGAGATGGAGGGTTGGGAGGGTGAGGGGTAGACGAGGGATGAATATCCAGCCCTGTCGGGGAGGCCTGAAGTGGAGCAAATGGCAGACGGGCTGGAGCCCAGTCCTCGGAGCCCAGCCCTGCCAGACTCCATCTGCTGAATCCAGACGCTCAGGAGTCCCGAGTCCCCGAGCCATGTTCCTTACGCATCTGAAATAGCTGCAGACAGCCGGCTAAGAACCCGGGGGATGCGTCAGCAGAAACGCCTGCGGAACGGGCTTCCAGAGGAGGCTCAAGGTCAGAGCTCATGCAGGAGCTGGGCCTGTTTACTTTCGCCACCACCCACACACAATCACAGCCACCTGGGCCCCCTCCCCCCGCATCCACTGAGGCCAGAGCCTCAATGAGGGCCTAGACCTGGTGGCTCCATTAATCCTGCCAGATGCGACCCTTCACCCAGTCTACAGCTGAGGTGACTGAAGATCAGAGAGGGAAGGTCACCTGTGCAAGGTCACACAGTAAGGACGGGGCAGAAAGCTGAACTCTATTAAAAAGGCCTGACTCCATATCCCCGACAAAAACCTGCTTCCCATAAGAGCCAAGATGACCTACTGCCATTGTTCTTCCACCTCCTTCCTCAAACCTGTGGCAGTTCAGGAAATTCCCTTTTTTACAGAGAAAAGAACCCCTTATTTCCTGAGCTGGCCCAATCAGGGCCCAGATTCACAGACGTGTGGTCTGGGGGAACTGTAAGGGGATGAAATGAACAGAGGCGACCTTTGCAGTGTGGACTCGGGCCAGTAAGGCTCCCCTGCATGACGTCAAAGCCTGAGGCCACCTGGGCACCCCGGGGCCACCTCAGCAAAATGCAGCTTCTCCCTCTCAGCCCTTCTCCTCCCCTCAGCCCAATTCCGGGTTTCTAGGCCTCCTTCCCCTCATTACGATGGGAGGGCTCTTACATAAAGGTGCTATTTCCAGTTCGTTATTCATCA